AGCCTTCCAAGAATTTATGTGATTAGCCAAAATAAGTCAAGCTGCTCATTGTGTTAATTACAGGTCATAGGTAATATCTAAGTATTTCTAAGATTGTGGATCAAAAGCAAATGACAAGATGCTCCGTGGACGCTAAAATGTTTGAGTGCGGACATTTTAGGAATTTGGAAGTAGTGTTTATGCTTGCTCCAACTTTTACTATGTTACCTTTGCAAAAGCCTCCCTCTCTAAAAAGTTTCAATTAATAAGAGCATCAATAAAAAGTCTAGTCAATGCTAACGAAAAATCCATGCATTTATAGCATACTCGAAAAGCAATCATGACCATACGACTAGAAGGTCAAAACGCTTAAAATTACCATGTCTTCAAGAAATTCTATTGTAATATGATGGATCACTTTTCAAAGGTACCTGGAAATTCACTAAGCGGGCACCTTTCTCCAGCTCTATTTTCCGGCTCACTTTAACATTGCTCTATGACATCACCATTGTATCGTCTAGTGCTCTTAGTATTAGTTTCATTTGCACTATTTATCGATAGAGCTTATGCAAACAAGTGTTAGACCACCTCTGGAAAGCGACACATCTCTATTGTATATAAACCATACACGACATGCTTACTCGGATTTAATCCATGGCAAAGTCAGCAAACAATTCCTTTCTTATTACGTAAATTCCCTGCCCTCTACTGCGTTTTCTTTTCGTTCTCCCTTAAGTTTCTTATCCTGTGTAAGTACTATCAGACAACACACAACACCCAATTTGAACAGAAGCTCATCGACTCGGTCTACATATCTGACACATGCACTTCACGTTTGTTAAGCAGGTCTTAGAACAGAAATCGGCCCTGCCCCCGTACTCTTCACGTGTATCTTCCATCTACCAGAACTCTTTACCTCTGGCTCTGAACCCTGGAATTCTAAGCACAACCTAAACAACTCTTCTGCTCCCCGTTGATAATGACGGTACCCTTATTGCTGCTCCTACCGTATTTTTGCAGGAAAAAAAACTGGAGAACCCTGCAATGTGTACTCACAGGGCAAGAAGTTAGACTTGTATCAACAGACGAGAACGATAAAGTCTATGTCTGGAGCAGCGTTTGAGGGATGATTGATTTGCACTTTGGCATGTTGCTTATACGCAAGCTTACACGTCTTTGTGCGATTTATTGTTGACTTTGCCTGTTTGCATTTCAAAAGTAACACCGGTATCACGGCAACTTATTCTATCGTGTCTTCTTTCTCATCAAAAATTGCTCGCCAACAAAATTTTTGGTTCAGATCGTAACTGCTTAGTAACTTCTTCACATTGTTAGTCTCACTGATTCACCATGTCCGAAACGTGAAATGAGCAATTACCTCAGTTTGTTCGCATATTGTAAATAGGTTCTTCTCTAACTGTTGAGAGACTCGAACAGGATCAGACGAAAGGGATTACAGTGTAATCTGTTAATTATTCAAAGTTATACCACATCATTGCGGATTAAATAATAATCTCACAATATCATCATCAAAAAAAGTTCTCATGACTTTTCACTGACTCACAATGACTTCTTTTTTGTCTATTCGGAAATGACACTACAAAAATTATTTAAGAAGTCGG